GGAATAACGCAGCTATGGTACAATACATCAGGGACTCACAGGCTACTGTTATTAAACATCCATTTCCTCTTCTCTCCTCCTTCTTCCCTCCATTTCTCACCTCCTACCAAAATCCCTTTTTCTCTTCTCATACACTTGAATCCCAATTGGTGTTAAAAAAAAATCCTGTGACATTATGTACAAGGAGGATACAATAGAGGGGCAGCAGAGGGCAAACCTTAAACTGCTCACCCTCATTTTTGTACTTACACCATGTCCGCAATAATACGCTTTTCATAGAGGACAAATACAGTAGAGGGCTTCTCAACATGCAAGATACTCGATACTAGTTCCAGTTGCCAGATAAAGCAGAGTATTACACATTAAATTACAGGCAATAATCACTTTTTTCAATCAGTTTCTATTTCTTTCTTTCTCCTCCATCATTTTCTTGATCTGTTACTTCTCCTCAGAGAGTTAGATAAAAGTTGTTTAAACTAAAGACTAAAGACAATTGACACTGTGAACACTGCTGAGTCATTTGTTACGTGATGAATGCTGATTGTAACCTTTCCCACTAAAGATACAAGTCAGATATTCATTTTATTTGTCTTGCGTGACATATTTAGATGCTGTGCGTTCAACTCAATATGTAGGCCTGGGTTTAAATAAGCTTAATCTATCGACACACTGTGTTCTCATTGATGTGAGCTTTTGAGAACTCTATAGAAAAACCGTAGCTTATTGAAAACAATATATGAGCCTGTTCAAATAGTGTATATGTGGCATGAAAGTAAACAAGCCAGCTTAATTAGTGCCTAATAGGCCTCTCAGGCACTGTGACTTTCCAGAACAGAGGTTTAACTGGTTGACTCTCAGCACAGTAACTGTCCCACTAGTTGCCAAACACAAGCTGTGGTATACAGTATTGTTATCAGCTGACTTAAAGAGAAATAAAGCGGGGCAGTGTATTTCCCGACAAAAGTGACCACAGTTTGAGGTAGTTTCAAACTGTGAATGTAACAGTAACAGTTGTGAACAAGTCTATTCATGCACACACTTTCTCTCCCATTATGTCTTTGTATCCCGCTCATTCTCCTGTTGACTCGGAAATGGCCGAGCAAGAGAAAAGGTCAAGTGACTCTGCTCCCTCTTCTCCTCCTCTCCTTGCCTCCATTCTCTAATGTGTAAGTGAGGAGGAGAAGTTGGGGCCAGCGGAGAGCATCAGCATGAAATTGTCACATAGTAATGGACCCACAAAACTGAGCTGCATGAACAAGTATGTGTGTGAGACGTGTGTAGGAATTTAGATCTAACTACTGCTTGAACCCCCCCGCCCCCTCTGAACACTATCAGGCTTTGATTCACATCTTCTGTTTTTCCTGGTCATTGTGTTCCTGATCAATAATACAAACAACACATGGCTGGGGGGCGTTGCATCAGATTTAGCCATTGTGCGTGGGCACATGGATAAAAAGGCGGAATGAAAAAAGGTTTTATGTGTGTGTGGTACACCCCAAAAATGGTACAATTATTTGTGTATTTACTTTTATTTATTTTTGCTAAACAGTGAATTTATTGTTTTGAAAAGCCCAACATTATCTGTATTTATTTTGGTGACATTCATATCATTTTATGGTTTATCTGTTTGGCAGGTGAGCGGTGACATCTGGGTTATCTTAGGGGGGACACTTCCGCCCCCTCCTCAGAAGCAATCCAGACAATCAACCGGATCCTGTGTATAATTATTGCTGCTGCACTTTTCTGTTTTCTACAGAAATCATTTATTGTTGCTGTGGTACCCAAGCTTTTGGGACCCGTAACATGTGCAACGGGAAAGCAATCAAGTCAAATGGAGTAGGAGCTTTGCTTAATCACTTAGGACTGACAATATTATTTTATTACTTATTTTTAACAATTCCAGAGAAATGAACAACTAACAAGTTGAGTCTGAAGTTCAGACAACTTATGGGCCATAAAACTCAACTGTTAAAAAACAATTAAAAACACATCAGTGACTCGAACTGTTGCACCTGCTAACATATTCCTTTATAGCCCCCCCACCAGGCTGCAGTTTTTTAAATAGTTTCATTGTTACTGTCCTACGGGGAGAAATTATCATTATTTAATGCACAGTTTAAAACAGTCCCTGGCAAATGCACTATTTAGTCCTAAAGAAGTGATGGTTTTTAAAAACTATTCCCCAACTCTGTATTTCATACCTTTTGTTAATGATTAATAAATCAGAAGCAATGGATAGGCTTATGGATATTCGGCACAGTAAGGAAGTGAAGTGAGAAAATATCGTTTAGACATGGACTTTGTGGTCAGTTTTGGTGTTTTACCACCCAAATGCTCACCAGAGAACATGGATGCTTTTTAAATGTAACTGTACCAATGGCCACATTTTTTTAAATGAACCACATATGCTGGTGGTGGATATGTGATGTGAGCCCAAAAGAGACTGTTGCAGGATACATAATGGGCCGGGAGGGGGGGGGGGGGGGAGCAGAGTGAGGGAGTGGGGCCGCTGGCCTCTGTCCTCAGTGAGTAATGACCACAGAGGAGGACAGATGATCATGTTCATCAGCTCCCAGAACCCAGGCTACCAGCCCCCCCCCCCCCCCCCCCCCCCCCCCGCTGGGGAGGATCAGTCAGGCTGATGGCCCATAATCTGTGTGAGCGTGCGGGTTATGTGTGTGTGTGTGAGTGAGCCTGTGGTTCAGCAGAGGGATGAAGATGGGGCTGGGTGACGACAGTGATAATGACTATCACTGCTGATCATGAAGCATACAGTGCATAATGTGTGTGTGTGTGTGTGTGTGTGTGTGTGTGTGTGTGTGTGCGCATACCATTGCATGCAGAGTGTGTGTGTGCCCTATTAAAAGCACTAACCACATTTATTACAAAGCTATTCTATGTCCGGCATTTTCAGGGCTTGCTTAAGGAGAAAATTGGGTGTACTGACTAACCTTTTCATTAGCACATCATTAAAGTTTGAAAAGTAGCTAAATAGCCGAGGCTGGCGGTACATATTGAAGAGCTGCCAAGTCCAGGCTCAATATCATTGAAGCACTTTCTATGGTTAGTTTGTGTTTTTTGAGGAAGTCTCAGCCTTAAGCTTTCAACTCAACTCTTTCATCAAAAGCTGGAATCTGAATGAAACCTGAACTCTTCATTCAGGGTTCACTTAGAGATCTGAGTTAAAAGAGGAAGGCTGATTTCCTACATAAATAGACTGATGACTGAACTTTTTGGAGGACATAATTACAGGATATTGGGTAATTTAATTGGTACAGCCACTTGAGCCTGAATTGTTCTTTAAAACGAGAGAATGAGAACACATTTCTGAATACAACTGAATTTAATTAAAGACACTGGTTGTTACTGAACAGTGCTTTAAGGTTCTTGATGAGCTTTGTCGAAAAGACCCTCAATCTGTATCTGAATCTCCTGCAGCCTTGTCCTTTCAGCTCTCAGAAAAGACAGAATTGATCGGAGATTCAACCAGTATTTACATCAGTGATTCCCTCTGCAAAAAAACGGTATCTTGCTTGTCAATCAGCAATAAACTGCTTTCCAAGCTAAACTGTGAGAATGATCAATTCCGGGCAATGATCTCAGAGTGTGTGTGTGGCATTGAGAGATAAAGAGAAGGCAGCTTTAAGTGTAGTATGTGTTTTACAATGACTCCAACCTTTAAAACATCACCTCCTTGTTTCAATTCATTCTGCTCTACTGCCGTCTGAACAAGCACAAACAAACACGGTATAGATAATATTTGCTCGGTGCAGAATGCTATGAACGTCTCATCACTTCAGTCGCATCAAATCAATAGTCTCCAGAGAGGGGAAGTGATTTCCATTATAGAAATGGTCTTGAGTCAATCTGTGGAGTAGGTGTGAAAAGAAAAGAGTGTGCCATGTTAAACTATATCAATTATGCTGATTGAATTCTGCTGTTTTACTGCATAAGGCGGGAATGTTTGGCCATGTTGGCTTGTATAAGTTCCTATGTATCCATGTCAAAGAATATTAGGAACCATGGTAGGGTTTTCCTCCATGGAACCCCATTGATATTTATTTTCTTTTTTTCGGTGTAGAGTTTTATTTATTTGATGTAATGCATGATGACATAGGATCATCTTAAAAAAACTATTGTCATATTGCTTTGTCACTATGTCATCTTTGTTAATGTTGAGTCAAGTTAATTTGGCAATTTTGTTTGTAGAAGAATAAGTCCGGGGGACAATTTGTGCCTTCTGCAGCACATTTGTTTCAATTTTTAAAGACAAATCGCAAATGTAGTCCAAAATGACCAAGTGCTTTAAATTAAGTGGTTTCTATTCAACTTGTGTTATTGCATTTGATATTCTCTTTTATTTGAGTTGCTGTGAGTTGTCAAAGATGGGCAAACCACCTGATGTAGTATCTGGCATTGCTCCATGTTGTGTCCCTTTTGAAAAATGACCTAATAAAGTTCCTATAGGTTATCTGTTAGGGTAGCGCTCTAGTGCTTTATTGTTTTTCACAAGGAGGTACCAATGACCATATGTCTGTGTTTACGATGCAATCATATATTGTCTGATCAAGTAATAGTACATTTAAAGTTTCTATATACCTGATTTAATGTCTGATTATTTTCATTTTGTATTCATATAAACCGTAATTACTATCACATTAACATATTGAATTTATATTTGTTGTCAACTGATTATGATTCAAAATCTGCATTTTACTGGATTAAACTAGTTTGTTATTGTCCCGTATATTTGTTTTGGATTTTCGTGGTGGTGATGTCCCCTTTTTGTTACATTCATATCGCAAATTATACCTCAGTGCAAACCATATATTATGATTGCACTCAATTTGGGGCTACTTGCTGCCCCCTTTATGAACTGAGGAGCATAATCGTCAATAAACTCCTTAACGGAGTTCCAGTGCCTGATTTTCCAACGCCCCCTTCGGTTCCTATAAAGGACATTCATTAGAAAGGGCTTCACTCTGTTGATGATAGTGGAAACACCTGGCGCGGAGATTTCAGGTTGCAGCTCCATGATAGGTCGCTCCTCCGGTACCCTGAACGACACATCCCACTTCATTGAGCTCGCCAGTTGTCAATCTCGCCTGTAAAACCTTCCCCCGAGATATAAAATAAGCCGCGTTGCTCTCCAGATCCTGCACTATTTGCCCAGACGGCATCCGCTCCATTCAAACACCGAGTGCGTCTCTGCTGCGGTGCGTTGCGCGCAGACTGGAGAGAGATGACAAGAGCCCCGCGGAACTGGCCACATAAACATGGATCTCTGTAAAACGCTGATTTCGGTGCTTTGGATATTATTGCTGAACATAGATGAACACTGTCACGCCGAGGAAGGTATGTGAAAACATCGTCGTTTCGTTTTTTTTTACACTAACCGCTCGTTGCAGCAGGCAGTGCTTATCGACGGACAGATGTCCGCGGAGGAGATAGTTTGGTGTTTGTCCTGTGATGAGAAGCAGGTGAATTCTGCCTGCTGATGAGAGGACATGAATAGTTATGTGAACAGTCTTTCATTTGCTTTCAAAAACACCGATCACTTGAAGGAGATATTGCGCCTGATTGTGGAGAGACGCGTCTCAAAAAGCTGACAGATTTACGCATTTGTGTTCAGCGAACTCAAACCGAATAACACAATGTTGTAAACAAATATGGTATATTTAGATTGTTTTGTCCCTGAATTGCTTGTATAACAAACTATAGAAATACTTCAGTACAATAACTTATCAAAAAGACGTACAATTGATTATTTATAAATGTACTCCATTGTACGTTGTAAACTAAGAGTGATTTGGAATAAGCATTTTATTAAATTGTATTTTTTTTTTAAGACAATAACTGTTGTTTTATCTATTTGGTCAAATAGTAGAGCCCCTGTTTGCTTCAATATGCAGTTTCTGATTTATTCAGAAAGGAAAAGTCAGTTCCCTTCAGGCAACCGTCCTTCTGAGAAATAAATCCTAAATCTGTTGTCACAAGATTTAAAATTGTGTGGTGGGCTTTTGTCACGGCTTCTTTGTGCAACTGTTTTCTTTGTCTTTTCATCCTGTGACAGCCACTGATGCTGTGGCAAGGACGACAGCATGCATTAGAGGCTGATGCTTATCCCACTGCATGCAACTCTCCTCCGTCTCTCAGTTTTATTGGTCTCACTTACTCTCTTTGTCTTTCCATCAGCATTAAACTAAGAATCATTATCACAACAGTAATGCAGGGGAACAATTCACTGAGGGGGTTTTTATCAAGAATAAATGCTGATGTGGGATTTTAATTGCTGGCTTGTTTAATTGCCCCTGTGCATCTTCACTGAAGTGTGTCAGAGAGAGGGAGCTGCTGTGGTCCAGCAATCTACCACCAGCCTGGCCGATTGCCACAGATAAATACTTTCTGCACTAAAGTCCCCAAAATATCGCAAATCTATAACTTGTATCGCTTGAAACTAAGCCACAGCGTTGATTGAATTTGTGTGTCTCTGACCGGCTGGCTCAGGTGAAGTCAGGAAAGTGTGCCTAATCTTTTCTGAAATTGTGAAGTGGAAAAAGAACATAATGGCTTCAGACCCTAGGCTCTTTATGAAGAGGGACTTTTATTGGCAAGGTGCTGTTGAGCCGAGTGGATTTTAGACACACACACACACACACACACACACACACACACACACACACACACACACACACACACACACACACACACACACACACACACACATACACACACACACACACACACACACACACACACACACACACACGCAGGCAGGCAGGTGCATGCAAACTCACTCCTCATAAGCCAAACACACACTTGTACACAGTAACAAATGTACACACTCCAGAGTGTGTACATTTGGCCTACTTCACAGCCATACATCATTGACGCACATTAATGCACACAACTCAGGATCAGATGCACACACACTCGCTTGACACGTATATGCTGCGCTTGCATGCGAGCTTTCTCATAAAAGATACACACTTTTGCACATATGCACGGTGGAACATTTTCTGGCACTTAAGGCCCTTCTGTGTGTGCAGATACTCGTTGCACGAATAAGCCCTCACACGCACACATATATACTCTTTAATTTAAATGCACACATTTATACTCTTTAATTAACTGACACACAAATGTTTTCATTTAAGCGTACATGCACGTCCTCTCGAGCATTAGATGCAACACACGCGGACTCATTGCCAGATTGATTTGATTCCCTGGAATGCTGGGTAGTTGGGTTTGAATGCTAGCTTTTGTTTAATTGCTGTTGTGACAGCGATTAATTGCTGTGAAAGCAATGTGCTCCTGAAGGCTGGTATTGGCAGCAATTTCTCTTTCTGTTGGTACGGAGTTGGAAGATTGACCAAACACTGGAGAGAAGTTTGCCTCTTCTTTCCAAATTCTCTTGCATTGTATATTTTAAATTAGGCAATGTATGTTCCTGTGTACCCGTGTTCTGTTGTAGCCATGTTAGCTGGGATTTAAAAAGTGTCGGCAAAAGTGTTAGCTTATTTATTTTGGATTGTGGTATCTGTTCAAACTCCCATTACAGCCTTTATGTGGTTCTTTAGTGTTTTTATTGTATTCCTATAGCTTACATGTCCCTTCTTGTTCATCTGTGCTCCTTCTTATCAGTATTTTAGTGGGTTACATCTATATGGTTATTTATCCTTCATGCTTTACTCTTCTTTCTGCCTTCCTGTTTTCCTTTGTTCTTCCACTATCTTCTCATATGTCATCCTTCCCTCTTTTCCCTCTTCTCCTCCTCTCCTGTACACGCCTCTCGAATCCTGAGCTGACTTAACAAACACTAATACGGCCGGGGGGCTCCGTGCAGGCAGAAATGGTGTGTCCACTATCCCGCACCGGCACCTCACACACTCGCAATCTAACCACTCCCCCTCCCTCCAGGCCGCTTTTTCTCATTCCCCACGCCTCAGCGCTAACACACCTTGGCATCTCATCGGGATCTCATTTACTTCCCCACTCCTCCCTCTCCCTCCATCCATTCTGCAGCAAGCCGAGAGAGGGCACGGCTAGGTACAGAACAATAGAGGCAGAGTGACGGAGAGCAGCAGAGTGATGGAGAGCGGCGGAGTGATTGAGAGAGTCTCGGCGTAACCTGTGGGATCGTCCTGTTTGTGCGGCTGTAGTTTAGTTTGATGCCTCACCGTGTCAGAATTGCCAGGGCGACTCTTTTCTTGGCAGACATTCAGCCCATTGTTTACCTGTAGCATTATTATGCCTCTCTGCCCCGAAAAACCTCTAATGTCATGTGTAATATCAAATGTACTGCTGACCTTGTCCACCATGATGCTTGAAGCGAGGCTAGTTCGGGATAAAGTCTTGAGTATTTAAGCTAAAATGCAGTTTTTCTGGCGCTGACAATGTTCCAAAAGCCGGTCCTCTCACAGCAGTGAACTGTTGCTGAAAGCCAAACACCTAATATAGTTCTACTCTAAAATAAATGTACCATTACGTTATTCTCTATCTTTATCTTAAAGGTTATAAGTGCTGTGAAGAACTGTGAAAACCTTTGTGAAAGTTTTTGTTGTTGTTGTAGAGGTTCCCTTCTGATCTGAATCCAGCATATCTGATTCTGTAGCACACATTTTAGGAGTATAGAGGAAGGCTTTAATGCAGCGAAGCACAAAGTAAAAGTGATAAAGTTTGAGGTTGGTGGAAGGTATAGGCAAAGTTTTTTACTTTGACGACCGACTGCAGACTTAATTCCAACGTCCTCATTGACCCCCGTGTGTGTTTGTGGTTAGCTGACAAGGAGCTCTGAGTCTTTTAACTTCTCTCCAGTAACTCTTTGTAGTCCTCTTGTCTCTGCATGTTTGTGATATGGAGTCATACAATATTTAAATGAGCTACATCTTTTGGGTTCAAACTGTCTCTCCACCTCAATTTGCTCTGACCAAGAGGATTTTGCTTCCACTTGAGTCTCTCATTGAGGGTTTTTCATCACGCAAGCTTATGCTTCCCCGCGTGCTCTCTCCTCCCATGAACCTAAAATGTTCCCTCTCCCCCATGATGGAGTTTTTTCCAATCCCTCAAATGCAGCTTGGGGCGAGAGGAGGCTTCTGGATGAGCTTAGAGTGAGCACATGAGTATGCTACACAAAGTTTGCAAGTAGCAAAGCCTTTCTACAAGTGGCATGCCTCACAATAATGTGTGGAAGATTCTGCTCCTATGTCCTGTAACGGAGCGTCCACACAGCAGCGTGCGTTGACGCTTGGAGGTGGGCGTATCTGAAGCTTGGGGATTTTTTGCGAGCAACACGACCAACAACCAATCACATGAATCTCCCGCCCCCGACATACAAAGCAATAGCAATGTTAAAACGAAGTAAACTGGATATAAAATCCCCAAACAGGCGAAAACCTACCAGTTTCACCCACTGTCTCTGCCTCCTCCCTCCATGCCTCGCTCCTCCGGTTTGTATCCCGGTAGATGAACAGAGACTGATCATACAGCACCGGGTGATTCACTACCGCTACAATGAATTTCCCCTCAATTTGTTTGAATATGAGGAAATGACCTGCGTAGTCTCTCCCAGCATACACGCGGTTTGATTGGCTATGCGATTGTACTGGCAGATTTGAATAAACGGGATTTCATTGGCTGACGCCTCCGCCGAGGCGTCAAAAGTTGAACATTGCTCAACTTTTGACGCCAGCTATGCCAGCAACGCTCCACGTCGCTTCCCAAAATGCATTTCGGCTAAAAGTGACGTCACCCCATTCAAAGTGAATGGGCAGAAGCGTTGGAAGCTTCAACGCACGCCGCTGTGTGGACGGGCCGTTACGGCCCGTCCACACAGCGGCGTGCGTTGACGCTTGCCGGCGGGCGTGTCTGACACTCGATCAACAACCAATCACATGAATCTCCCGCCCCTGACACACAAGCAGCGGTTTGATTGGCTAGAGCTTGGACTGCCATATGATTCGATTGGCTGACGCCTCTACCGAGGCGTCAAAAGTTGAACATTGCTCAACTTTTGCAGCGAGTCACGCCAGCGACGCTCCGCGTCGCTTCCCACGATGCAGTTCGGCTAAAAGTGACGTCACCCCATTCAAAGTGAATGGGCAGAAGCGTTGGAAGCTTCAACGCACGCCGCTGTGTGGACGGGCCGTTAAAAGATGTGCATTTTTATGGAGGCTTCCACCTCTAATGTTCTCTTGATAATTACCTGGCGTTTTAGTAGTCTAACCTCTATCTATCTTTCTTAACCCCTCTGAGACTTTCCAAAACCATTTAGGAATTTGAGGGACGATCAAGTATCTGTCCGGCATTTGAGTCGCTGCAATGTCAACAATTCCTTTCTTTCTTTTAAGGTGAGG